TGCGGGCGCCGGACGGAATGAAGTGCTCGATTGTGGGCCAGTAAATTATCTCTAAACAATGTACATCAAACAGGCTCTTGGGAGCTCTTTTATAAATTCATTTTTCATACACTTTGATTTAATCCGACATGATCCGACTATACCAAAATTGCCTATATCTTTAAGCGCTTGGTTATATGAAGCTTACAAACATGGTATCGGGGAATGCCGGCTCAGTGTAAGCAGAAATAAAGCTAATTACTTACATGTTCAAAGGTTTCCCGCAGGCACCGCAGCTTTTCTCACAATTGGAAGGCATTAAGCGATCTAGGGCTTAGAAATTCCCGCAAAGCACCACTTTCTTTTTTTGTTTTCGGTTACTAGGGCCTTTGATGTCCTCTTCAGCCGTGATAAAAAATCCGTGCATTAGGAGAGAGAGGCAACTTGCACTGTGGTAGCGCTTTTATCCTTGCCGGCGGACGGCTTCCATTAAAGCGGGCCCAGGCCATCGAGGACGACCACAGTCGCCGGTCGAAGCACGGATTAATCGGAGCAGCCGCCGACAATAGGATGCTCGGTAATTGGAGGCCGTCGCGGCGGACAGGCGGCGAACGCCCCTGTTTGGGTGCCGCTGCGACAGGCCACCGGACACCGTCACCTCTGCAGGCTGGGACGGGCGAGCGGTGTCTCTGGCATTGGCTGGTCGGCGGTGATTGGTGCTGCTTCGAGGCTATGTGTGTTGCCAGGGTGGGGACTGCTAAATTTGCTAAATTGCTTTTGGTGTCACGCTAGAGGTGATTGTAACAAATGCTTGTGTGCCAGTCATACATATGTAAATAGCGGATATGGATGTTCTCCGAAGTAGAGATAAACTAGGTAAAATTTCAGTTATATGATATTTTATGCATGCTCCAAAGTTTTTTTTGCTTTGGTTGTTTTGGAAATCGTGATGCAATATAAAGGTTCATTACGTATTCCCACGAAAAAATATTTTCCATTCTAAAGTAAGTAGCTCTGCCACTGAAGCTACGACACTGTAGCATTATCTGTGCCCGATTTCTAGTCCTCGTCAATGGCGTGTTGATCCCGTAGGATTGTTGTGTCCCGCCGCGTCTCTCCTCCTCCCCGGCCGTCTGTGTATGCTGGCCGAACAGCACTGATCTCTATCAGTAGAGGTGGCACGTGCCAGGCCTGCCGGGCGGCGGGCACCTGTTAACGGTCCACGCCGGGCCGGGCCGCGCACTGAGCACAGCATGCCCCCACGTCCAGGCCGTCATAGCGGACACCACAGCAGTACGACCATAAATTAGACGGCAGATAGCTGTATTTGGCTGTCCTGGATAAGAAATCGGGATGTTACGATACAGACGGGCAGACGGTACGTAGATTGTTCTGGGCTCCCTGTCGCCGTTTCACGTGTAATTAACATGAGCGTATGGTGCGTCTAATTTGTACATACAGAGATGAAGTAAATTTGTTGTAGGGCGCCACTTCAAGAAACTGAAGGCCAAATTTACTTTCTATTCGTCCTGTTTCAGCGCTGTAAATAAACGCTGAAAACAAACCCTGCTGTTTATCAAATACAGTTGCCAATTTTGCATGTAAATGTGCTCAATTTTTTAACTTGCTTTGCGGAAGATCCAACTTATTCTACATTGGTCGTGGATGAGGGGCAATCGTTGCATCCTGTACATAGAGTCGTTGAAAATAGTCGTCCTCCAGGCTCCAAGCGCTAGGCAAAAGCTTTCTCTAGAGTAAGAAAGTATGATGTGCGCTGTAAAGATTTAGTCATCGAACAATATATCTAATAATGACAATGTCGTTCATTTTTTGACGCTCGCCTTGTCTTATTACACGCGCCTGAGACGTGAGCGCACCATTGACTCGGGCGTTGCTCGCTACGGCGACAATAGGAGAAGCTGCATGTCTCACTGTGCGCTCTGTGGTTTCGCTCGGGGCAGTGGCCCCGCTGTCTAACCGCACTAACTGATGGCGAGAGCAAGCCGCCGTGATGGAGCGGAAACAGTCCGGCGCGTGCAGGGGGAGGTGGAGAGGGGGTCTGTCGAGGCGGAAGGCGACAGGCGGCACCGACCCTGAGAATAGCGAGGAGGATAGACGTTCTGAAGGAGTCAGCGACACAGTGCTGATGGGGGAGGAGGTGATGAAGTGGTTGTATAGTCAAGAGGCTTGCTGGTTGTTCACGACGGCCCTGCAGAAGACATTGTTCGCGCCAGTGCACACGGGATGGAGGGGTCATTACTTAGTCACAATGGTGCTGCTTTGATATGCTCCATTAGCTACCAGGTGATGAGCCCTCGGTGGTATGGTTTAGTTGATGCATCATGCCATCGATGATTAGACCTGATTAGAAGTTTCTCGTTCTCAAACGCAAGTTAGATGAGAGCCCTCGGAAATTGCTTTTCAAACTTTTGCACTAATTTGATTTATGAAAGGCACTAAATTCCACGAAAGCGAGGAACACTATTTAGCAAGTCGTTCAAGACATCTCAACGCTTTTATCTCTTCAAGGAACAGAATAAGTAATGGCAGCATTTAATTCTTTTCCTCACGCTCTTCTGAAGGCGGCCAGATATGCGGAGCACTATTTGTAATAATATCTTTTCTCTGGTCTGCCCCCTCGCTCCGTGTTCTCAAACAGACGGTGCGGGGCGCTGTGTCCGCTGGTTGCCATCAGTTGCGTGGCGGATTGTGTACGAGCAGATTTTTGACTTTGTTCGACATCGTTCACCAGACAAGTATTTTTCCGATTCCATGTATTTTCCTATTAGGGTATTTCATTCTTCCATCTTCAAACTGTCCTAAGCTAAAGCCGTAATATACGCCCGGGTGCCTGTTGGTACTGTATTTCAGCCGGTTTTTCCATGCCGCCGTCTACAGCCACCTCCGTTGAAATTTCATGGACCACTGAAGGTCAGCTTGCCTCTCTCGTTGCCAGACGGTCTTGCAGCATGTCATACCCCAGCTTAGCTATATGGTATGGAGTAATTTCGGGCCGTAATGACACATGACGTGGACAATGGACCGCATCATAGCGAGCAATACATGGGCGCTGCTCATTGTTGACAAGGGTCTTGGAGGGCTGGTTAACCCTCGCCGGCACAGGGGGGGGGGGTTGATGCATACCCCCCTAAGGTTTTTCGCGAATAACTCGCGTAAAAAGCGACCGATCGCGACGAAACTTTCAGTACCCTCGCATTGAGCAATTTTACACCTACCCTGAAAATTTCATGACCCTGACCCAAATGACCTTTGACCTGTGACCTCTTTTCCGAGATCATGTTTGGCCGGAATCGCGATTCGGCGTATGTCGGCTCGCATTAGCCGCGCGTTTGCAAGCTTTTCGTGGTTTCAAACATTCAAACATGTGATTTGATGTTGCTCCCATACATTAGGGTGAGTGTCTAGGTCACCTGAAGGTCAGGTCGGGTCATTGACCTTTGGTGACCTCGGGTGACCTCGGTTCACTTTTTCGAGTTTTACATGTTTCTAGGCTAGTTTTTGGAGCTGATTTCGAATTTAGCAACCATTTGAACATTTACGAAGAAGTTTTGGTGCCTTCGTAACATGTTACGAAGCTGTCAGAGGCGGTTGACACGTATTACGAATACCCGTCACAACCCCTACCGGTTGACCTGACCTGACCTGACCCGACCTGGTCTAAATGCTTCAAGACATCATCTCTGGTCAAAACTAACACGATATTCGTGATCAGCACCCCGGAAAACCACATAGCAGCCACACTTTACGACTTTCTAACAGGTCCCGATTTTCCCGGTTTTCGGGTCATTGACCTGACCTGGAAGGTCACCCGATGACCTAGGACCTTAAAATTGGGTATCATCGGCTTCCTCTCGTGACGGGCAATACGCTCGTTTTTTCCGAAGCTCTAGCTCGATCAGGGGCCAAACGCGAGGGGGAGGTCGTACCCCCCCCCTTGTGCCGTCGAAGGATGCAAAATGGCCTGTGCCGGCGAGGGTTATGGCAGGGCTGAGCTCTCGGACTAACACAGCATTGTGGCGCTGTTGCTTCGATATTAGCAACTGACGTCTGACGGCACTGTTTTGTTCTCGAAATTGTCATTTTAGTGTTCGAGTAGGCAAAGTTTATATGTTATAAGTTCTTTTTTAGTATTGCACGTCTATACAAGTATCTACATTTATCAAGGAAATTTGTGCTATAATCTCATTAGTATTCTGTCGGGTAATTTTCATTGAACATGTATGTAGGTATGGCTCTTAACGCATTGCTGCAGTCTTGCATTATTGGCTATGAGTAATGAGTATGACCCTCGCTATTTCGCTTCTATTTTTGGCATGACTCATGCACAGCACACTTAAGACCAATAAACGTACCCCATTTTGCCTTTCGAGTTTGGAAACTTGATGGGATAAAACATCCAAGACTCGGAAGCAAACGCAGCACCATTGCACTCAAACTATCCAACTCCATCATTGTATCGCCACTGTCCTTCAGTTTTTGCACGTTGCAAAAAGCTTCGCTCACGAGAGTACGTTTTCTGTTTCGGAGCGTAATTAACGGTACGACACGAGCCGTCGCGTCGGCAGGGTAGTGATGAGCAGCTGCCTTCTCCCGTCACTTCTGCCGCTCTTTGCCAACTTCTCTCAACGATATCAGCCTCTGGCCAGTCTTACTAGCCTGCCACCCCTGTCACACCGCCACAGAGTACTCCATGACTCACTCGCGCTGCAGGGCAGCTCTCCTGTGTGTGCTTTGACCCGCGCTCTGGGTGAGTTTTGTCTCTCCAGTCTCAGCCCGTGCCAGAGCCGACACCTTTCATTGTGATAGCAGTGCTGCTTTGTCTCGCTGCACCATTGTCGTTGCTGAATCGAGGACACTCCTTACCCTGTCGCGTGATATAAGCCGAGCTTCTGAAAGGGTAGCAGCCGGCATCAGATCCCACAATAAAACTCCTTGAAATTGATATGTATGTATGCACAGATCAAATGAAAACAATGCATTAAAATGATTGTTGTTTGCAGGTATATTGTGATCGTGTATCCCATGCGGTCCCGGTCGCTCTGCACGATGAGCAACTGCAAGAAGGCCGTGATTGTGGTGTGGAGTGTCGCCCTGGTGCTCGCCGCCCCCGTGGTCATCACAAAGGTAACTACGACTAGTGGTAGCTGTTTTTTTTTTTGCTGATGCTTTTACTCATTTTTTATTTTGATTTATTTGAAATGACTAACCTTCTAGCCAGGAAAATAAATAAACTCATGTTGTATTTTCGCTTATTTTTACATATCAATACATCTTTTCTGCTATCATGCAGCTCAAAATTAAATTCTAGATTTTAGGTGTGCCCACTCTATAAAGCTCTCGATTTAACATTCAGTTTTTCTATATTTTTTTTTTTCATAGCTCATTCAGGTCCAACATTTCAATGAAAAGCCTAGCCTTGACGCATACTGAGCCTGGTATCACAGTACGATTCATGAGAGCTAACTCTGGCCACTAACCCTGTTTGCTCACGCTACCACGACCATTCTCTGCCTCACAGGAGATTCACCCGGCGCGCTTCGGAAACAACGTTACCATAGTGACGATCCACTACTGCAAGAACAAGGAGACGATGGGCCTGTGGCTGTCCATCTACCAGCTGCTCGTGCTGCTCATCCTGCCGGCCATGCTCATGATCTTCTTCTACTCGCGGGTCATCTCGGAGCTGTGGAAGTCGACCAAAACCATGAAACAGATGACCGGTGCTCGGTGAGTTCTCGAGCCGCATGATGATGAATGATTGTATAGTCGACTACAGAATGATGTTCCACTCCTCAGAAGCTACCAGTTGACCGGAGCGCTAAGTTGTGCCGTTTATCACGCAATTAAGCGTGTCGATTGTGAGCATTGGGACAAAGCTATAATTTATGAGCTCAGTCCGTGTGATGCGGCACAGTCTACCACTCCAGGCAAATAATTGCCTGTGAAAAGTGGAACATCATTCTGTAGTCGACTATACCAAACATTGGGATAGTAAATATCTCACTTCTCTCCTGAAGAGTTATTAGGCTCATTTTTATCGGCGGTGGGTGCTGTAGTAGTGTAGTAGCTACAATGGCAGAAGTAGTGTGCGAACGTAACAGCAAATTAACTATTCTTCCACTAGTCGGGAGTTAATTTCCATTGCATAACGTACCATTATCATAAGTGGGCCTTGTCTCATTATTCTACGCCTTGCCGTTACCACCAGAACACGTTTCCACCATTCTGTTGAAACGATGCAATCGTGTAAACGTCACCACTGACTGCTAGTCACCCTTGCGGAATTGCTTCATTTGACATTGCTGGCAAATTACCTACTCAGATGTTGAAACACATAAAAATGGAAAGAATGTCATTATATAATTAGTGCAATCAACCTATCTTATTTTCATTTCAAAGACCGAGGCAGACACTAAGCCCGCCGACGCAGCGAGCAAGCCGCCCTATTATTTAGCGTATCGTCTTCCCTTTTCTTGTGAAATGACGGAGATTCGCAGTGGCGTGTTCCGATGTGGCGTCCTGCATCGATCACGGATTCAGGGGCCGCGTCACGCGGTGCTGAGAGTGGGACCTCCGCTGAGCAAACTACGTCTCTGCTGCCGTCAGCCGAGCTCTGACGTCATCTTATCGCCTCTTCTAAAGACAAACCATTTGAGGGGGCTTGCTAAATCGGTCGTCTAAAGGTCGTTGGTGTTTTTATTTGGAGTGTCTTGCCGATTTGTGCCATGTTCCCAAAGAGATCAGGATCTGGCACGGATGGATCGCACGCCGGTTGATGTGGAATTGTGGAGAGGGCCCACGGGAAGAGGACCACCCAAGGCCGGGGACCAACAAGTAAGAGACCAGAGACTTACGACCAGAGTTCATTAATGTAAAATGCAATTCGATAACGAGAAGCTATTTTATTTGGCTCGATTTTTATTTACAGCCAATGGCTCGACTTTATTTTATAACAATAGCCTCAGATATCAGAAATCAGAAATAGTATTATACAAGTAGACTACTTCAGAGACGACAATGGCAATAACAGCCGACGCCGCAAAGTAACCGGCTGATTCGGATCACCATACACCCGGTGACACCTTAATTTTAGAATTAGAACAGTTAGCACCGGCGCTACTGCACGTCTCCCAGTGAGGGTAGACTAGCCCGCAGTACACGCCTGCGATGGTAGGCTGTGCCGGTGAGCACGCCGCACCGCCCGGCCCCTTTCCTGGCCGTGTGCCCGCTCTCACGGGCCCGTCAGCCGGTGGTCGGTTCCAGCTCAGTCCTGAGGATAGCGGTACAGCCACAAATCAGCTGCTGCCGCCCACAGTCGCGCTGTGACGATCCCGGGCTCCGCACGTGGCGCGTGAGGGTGTGGAGGCGTTGACCTCTGGGGTCGAGTTTATTTATCGGGTTAAATATTTTTACCTGCGTAGGATAACCTGCACCTGACCTGTGGGACGCGGGTCAAGGTGACATATTCATCTGAAAAACGCCAAAAGGAAAGAGACATAGATAGTCTCGATGGGATTTTCAAATAATCCGACTGTGCATCTAACGAATTACGAAATAACATTTAGCAATCGGTTAAACACAGCAGATTCAAAGAAATATTATGTGCAAAAGTGTATGTTTTATTGATCAGCCACATCATATTTTACACGAACTCTTTATCACAGCCGATCCCATAATACACCTGCTGTATGTACTGTATGTGCTGGCTGCTGCAGATCGCAAAATGCAGCCCAGGCTTACCATGCTGTTGACTGGGGTCTTCAGTCTCCCGTCTCTGTCCTGACGAGATCAGGCAGCGAAAAACTCAGCGATCTGAGGTCATATTTTCATTGTTGATACGCTACAAGCTTGCAGCTGCTGTTAAAAGTGTTACATTCGCAGAGGGCTATATGCAATATTTTTGCCGCAGCATTTATTGCACGAAAATTTAGTGAGAAGACATTTGGGTAGATATAATGCAAAACGCTGCACAAAGGCTTCAACTGTGCTATTTCTTTATTTGCATGCATTATCTAAATGCATTTAAAGAGGCATGATGAAAACAATATCTGGTCAACAAAGGCAATAGAGAACATCCTCGCATGATATCATGAACAGGAAAGAAAATCTGTTTCCAGATTGAAATGTCTTAAACTGATTGCAATTGATTATATTGATAGTGATCATTACTTCATAGTTTGCTACACATCTTCAAAATATATTTGTGCGAATTTGTATTTGTATTCAAGTTCGTTTTTCTATCATCACACCCTGGACCCGGGCTACCAGCCGTTCTTAACTATAAAACTAAAGATTTTTAGATATTTAGAACTTTGTTTTGGTTATTGACCTTTCACAATGGAAAGCAAAAGTAAGTTACCAACAAAACCTTTCCGTCTATCTTTTTTCGTTGTGATTTCGACTGATGGGTTACATCGGCTATATTGTCAATCCTACATTTGCCATTATGTTGGTCACATCCGTGCATGGTGTGCCTGAGCCCTGATTTGGACGATTTGTCTGCATATTCCCCAGATCATCACTGATCGCGAAGCCCAACAGTCGGAAAGCGACGACCAGTAGCAGTTCACCGGTGGCGACTATGGAGAGCACTCGAGTCTACTGCGGAAGGAAGAACGTGTCCTCGAACCAAAGCAAAGGAGAAGACGTTATGAAAACCCGGAAACAGGTAGGTGCAGATTTCGTGATGCAGAAACTACGAAATGATTAGGGCTCTATGGTGAGGGTGAGGGCTTTATAGCGAGTGCTCAGACGTGCAGATTGTAAAGGTATAATTGCAGGATTACTTGCAACTGGCACATGATATGGAACAAAGACGGCGATTCCGGAAGCGCACCTAAGCTGTAATTACTTGTTATTCTGTTTCACTTTTCATAGAATCGCTTCACGAAGCAGCTGATCGGAGAGCGGCCAAACATAAACGCTCAATCATGTTTGCATACATGCTGATACTAGTTGGCACAGATCCCAGTTAATACGTATATTGATACTATACGTAAGGAGTGAGAAATTACGTCGTTAACACAAGGACTATTGGTTAGCACATTCAGGACATCGCGAGATGGTGAAATACCAGGATGATATGCATATTGCCCATAGGCGGCGGAACGGGGGGGGCACCGGGGCACCGTGCCCCCCCCTTGAATTCTGCAAGGGGGCACCAATAGCAAGGTGCCCCCTTAAATGTCATGCATTAGTACCTGGGGCGGATTCGGGAAAACTCCAAGGGGAGGGTCATGAATCGAAGTGGTGCCCCTACCTATACCCAAAATTTAAACCGCAACGGATTTCGGCCACTTAATTTTGGTGGTGCCCTATTTTCAGTTTTTATTTTCTTTATTTTTGGTTAGTCGTGTGATGACTGGTGCCCCTGCTCGGCCGCTGGTGCCCCTGGAAAGACTGTGGTACCTACCTACCCTGCCCCCTGACAAGCCTACGGTGGGCCCTGCACATGACTTAGGTGCCCATGGGCCCTGACAGGCCTGTGGTGTCCCTGGGCCTTGGCAGGTCTGTGGTGCCCCTGGCGAGCCTGTGGTGCCCCTGTTAGAACGCAGGTGCCCTAGACAGGTTTGTGGTGCCCCTGACAATCCTAAAGTGCCAACGACAGGCTTATGGTGCCCCTGACAGGCCCATGGTGCCCTTGCGAGGCCGGTGGTTTCCCTGTGAAGCCGATAGTGCCCCTGGCAGACCTCTGGTGCCCCTGGCAGGTCTGTGGTACCCCTGGCGGGCCTGTGGTGCCCCTGTCGGCTGTCAGGCCTGTGGTGCTCCTGGCAGGCATGTGGTGACCCCAGGCCCAAAGTCATGACCCATGTGACCTCCCCCCTGAGATTCGCCACTGATTAGTACTGCGATGGCTTCTTGGTAATTTGATACATATAGGATTAATGGAATTTATCAAACGAGAATAAGGAAGAGACAAACACATAGGTACTTGAGGATCAGTTTAAAGTTAACCACACATACGGGGGTGAACTGCCATTTTCGTTAAGTAAAAAAAAAATAAAAATAAAAAATCATCGTGTCAGGGCTGTGACGAAAAATAAGTGGCCTAAATCCGATGAGAAAACAGGATTTGGGGGTACCCTAGGTTTGGCTCCTTGAGCTGGTGCCCCCCCCCCCCCCGCCTTGTCTCAAATCGTTCCGCCGCCTATGATATTGCCTTATCCTGAGTAAGATATTTATTAATCAAACTGCGGGATAAATTACTTCATTGCATCAGACTCGCTCTCTTACTTCACATGAGGAGCTTTAAAATTGTGACGAGGTGTAACTAGCCTGTCAACTCGTGTCGTAATCGCCAACTTGAGACTTCAATGACACATCTGGGACATTGCTGCGTAGATTTACTACCACCCACTCCTCGTGGTTGCGAAAACGGAAGCCACGATTTCACTGTCTTACGAGCAACCGCTTCGCTAAATCATCCGAGATATGGTCCGAGCTGAGCTCGGCAATGGACATACAATACGACCAGCGCAGCATGCAGATGGTTGAAGTGACGGCGATGCTTTCAAATACCTTTTTTCTTTGAATGAAATGCTTCAGAATCGTTGATCAGTTCACCGTTTACCAGGGTAAATCATCGCGTTTGTTTTCTCATCGGCCAGGTGATCAAGATGCTGCTGCTGGTTATCGCTCTGTTCCTGATCTGCTGGGGACCGCGTCTCATTATGGACGTGATTCTGAAGGTATGTGAGCTGAGCCCTCATCCACCGCTACAAGTTCGATATACCGCTGCATTGCTGAAGGGGAGGGGTATTGCAATGTCATCTGCTCCAGTCGGCAGTAGTGTGGCCAGCGAATGGGGAGAGATGGGAGACCGAGGGAAAGAGAGAGAGAGAGAGAGAGAGAGAGAGAGAGAGAGAGAGAGAGAGAGAGAGAGAGAGAGAGAGAGAGAGAGAGGGAAGAGGGAGAGAGGGATAGAGAGATTGATGACACTCCACACTCCCCAAACGCTACGATGCTCGATAAAAAATTAGTGCGATTCTTTCTTCATTCACTTCACATAAAGCTAGTAAAAATTCACATAAAGCAGAAGAGATCTTTTCTAATTTGAAACTGTTTGAAAAAGACCTGTGGTCGAAATATTACATTCTTTCAAATAAAGTATATATTTATACAGCATTAGTTTTGGTAATTATCGAGGAAAAAAGGTCATGTTTTTACATTTTCTACAATTTATAAACATGTTCCTCGCACAAGCACTAACCTCATTAAAGCTGGTATTATTCTTTTGAAATTCGGACCGTTAAATATTATCGCATTATACTGATACACTTTTGTGTTAAATACATTCCTTGAATATAGATGGATAATAGCGGTGCTGAATGTAAGCAGTCGCCACTGGGTGAGAGCAACATTTCACCAGTATCGGGCGTATTATAACGCGCTAAAAAGACTGTGAATAGGGATGCCGACGCCGTATGCGTTTTTTATGAGTCTGAGAGGAATCGCCTGCTATTATGTCAGATTGCCATTTCTTCTATAGGCCTGCTATTTGAGCATTAATTACAGTCTAAACATATTGGATTATTGGCGGGATTTCAGACGTACAGAACAGATAGGGATATGTAGCATATTGTTTATGAAATGGCATATACAAGGCGCAGCCAACCAAGACAATTTATTAGTCAAACACTGGAGCAGAAATGCTCACGAGCAGTTGGTATTGATTCCTTTCTGTTCTGGAAGAGTTTAGAACAGCGCTGATGACTCATTACACGTCTTTAACTGACATGGACAAGGTTTGAGGACGGAGATTGTGGCCGAAAACTTATCTCGGTTTATGCAGTGTCCGTCTGCCTGATGGCTATGAAATGAGATGACCTTTACATTGATAACACTTAACATTGATTATGAGTGACCAAAGTTCTCAGCACAGCAAAAATGCAATCAGTGGTCTTTAATTGCTGGACTAATCCGCTTCCTCTTCTAGAGAACTATGAATCGATTCGGTGAAGAGATGTCTTCAACAAACGGGTGAGAAGTCGCGTCTTCTTTGAATGTCGACAATGGAAGACGTTCCGTGAAATGTAAGACGGCTACGAGGCCGTGAAGTCTGGCTTTACAATGACCCAGTTGACACTGGATGACATCTGGGAGCTGACGACTGACTGACAACTGTCAATAACCGATCGGTGTAGGCTAAAGATTGCCTCAAACACATTGAGCCGTGTCCCGAGCCGGAACCTGTCCTAATCTGCTGTGATTTAACGGCACCATGGACCGACATTTGTTAGACAGTCGAACGGCTCAATCACACGGCAGATTCGGGCTCGATTCGACAGGCGACCATCGGCTGCGCTGAGCCCTTTCGGGACAGGGACGGTATCAAAAGACAGCGGCGCATTGTCGCTTGACGGAGCGGTTGGGCGGGCGGCCGAGCGGACGGCCCGCGCCGGGGTGGACCATTAGGTAGCGACCGCGTCCTCTCTGATGAGCGACTGCGACCTAACCACCGCCCGCCGCCGGTCGCCATTGTTGGAGATGTGAATGCCAATGAGAAGCCAGACTGTTTCCTCGGGCCGAACGGCTGTAATTTGGATCGGATGAGATTTATTGATGTAAATGGGACAGACATTCAAGGTCTGATTGTGAATTATGGCAGTAACAGGCGCATTTGAAAAGATTGAAGTCGTTCTGCGAAGATCTAACGTAGGCGTTAATTTGAACGGAAAGGTCCTGGGCTTTATTAAGTTTTTTATTGTGGATATGGTCTATAAAACCTGCCGCAGGATTTCAATGAAATATCTTAAAAACAGTGTCATTTAATGGCAAACTCTAAATATGTGCCTTAGTGGCGGCCTTGGTCCTCCGACCGGCAACCAAATGGCTGAGGCGATCTTATATTTATTGGCGAAGAGCGATATGAAACACCTAACTGAGTGAACAGCTACTAAGACGGTTTGTGTGTGTGCCCGTGTCCGGCAGGTGGGACTGGAGACGTACTCTCGGGAGTCCTACGCCATGCGGATCGCCTTCTTCCTGATGCCGTTCATCCACGCCTGCATCAACCCGTTCGTCTACTGCTTCATGTCGAAGAACTTCCAGCGCTCGATGCGTCGCCAGCTGCAGCGGATGGGCATCGCCTGCCCCGCGGCCGCGGAGCCGATCCCGCCCCCGGTTCGCACCGGGGCCCCCACCGGGGCAGACTCCACGAGACACACGTACTGTCCCCCGGAGTCGGTACTGTAGACGGCCACACCGGACTGTCCCATGGAGTCGGTACTGTAGACGGCCGCATCAGACTGTCCCATGGAGTCGGTACTGTAGACGGCCGCACCGGACTGTTCCATGGAGTCGGTACTGTAGACGGCCGCACCGGACTGTCCCATGGAGTCGGTACTGTGGGCGGCCGCACCGGACTGTCCCATGGAGTCGGTACTGTAGACGGCCGCACCGGACTGTCCCATGGAGTCGGTACTGTAGACGGCCGCATCAGACTGTCCCATGGAGTCGGTACTGTAGACGGCTATACCACCTGCTGTGGGGAGGGCACCGTGAGCAGAGCCACAGCTGGGCCCACTGCAGAGTCGCGGTAAGGTAGAAGAACCCACTCAGCTACTGTGAAGGTGACTTCGTAGGTGAACCCTCAAGCCACACACGAGTCCACTTAGAATCACACTACTGAGCACAGCGACTGCCGAATCACTTCTGCATAGCTATTAGTACGTATAGGCATGACTGCTGAGTCAGTGCTACAGATCTACCTAGGCTGGACGAGCCTTCTATACTGCTGCGCTTCAGTCCGTGAACTATAATCACAATTAAGCTCACCAGCACACTATTGGCCCAGCCACGCACCACTATATAGACACTAGACACTAGTAGACAGTCGTAGAACCGTAGGTACTAATGGTACCTACTATATGTTAACGACTTAGCCGGTGTTGGTAACGCTATGAAGTTTTCGTCCCATTTCTAGTCCTCACAGTAGATTAAGAGTATTTCATCCACAGCACAGCAATTTTCGATGCATAGACATACTATTTGACGCAAGTATTTTTTATTTATAAGTACATATGTACTACAAAGTAATATTGCAAACGTTCTGCACCCAACACAGCACGCTGCGATGTATGGGAAAGCATGCATGATGCCTATATTAACCCGGCGGCCGCTGGGCCTCCGCGCCACCCGCCGGCCGCTGGAGGGGCATAAAGTTGCCCCCCCCTTTACTTCTGCGACGATATCGTCGCAACGCGAAGAGATAGAGAAGCGAAACTTTGCACATATCTTTCTGAATACCTAGCCGAGGGTGTGTCCAAATTTGGTGTCGATCCCATTTGAAATGACGTCACAGTGACGTCATAAGTGAAATTATAGATTTGCGACTCTCGTATTCCTCACGATACATCACATATATGGGACCGAATATAACCCGCGACCTGGTGGGGGGGGGGCTATTTTTTGCCCCCCCTCCAGACTTTTCGATATATCTCCAGAACCGCTGCGCCGATCGTCACCAAACTTTCAGTACCCTCCCGGACATCAATTTTACACAAGGTGACCAAATATTTTTCCAAAGGCTATGATAGGTTGGCCGGAAATGACGTCAGAGTGACGTCATGTTCTGCCGTTTTCGACCCAAAAAAGGGTTTCGCGGGAAGAGCTGTCAGGCCTATAGCTTTGCAAATACAGAAAAATGATAAGGACATAAAAGCTGTAGAATTGACAGGGCTACAAAACTGCTATCTCGGATTTTTGAAATTTTTGGATTTTGACCCTAGAAAAATAAAAAAATAATTTTTTTTAGATATAATGATCGAAAAATCCAAAAAGTTTTTTGAATTTCGCAAAAACCGGAATATATGTGATAGTCCTTACCGCCTTCCATCCACATACCAAATTTGAGATTGATACCTCTTTTTTGGCGAAGTTATAGCGAAAAAACTGTTCAAAATTGATGACGTCAAATTTTCAAACTCAATTTGTAGCAATTCTAGACCCCGTAGCGCAAAACAAAGACCACCATTAGACTCCCCGTGACGAGCTGCATCGAATCAATACCCATTTTATGCAAAACTATCAACTTTGAAATTTGACCTTTTTTGGCCTGACCTTGACCTGACCTTGACCTGAACTTCACCAGAAAGTGACCTAAGCCGTACCTGATAGTCTTATAACCAACACCATTGAGTTGGAAATGAAAAATTGGCCATAAAACATGCATCACACAACCTTAGTAAAGTTGGGCTCATGTGACCTGACCTGTGACCCTTGGTGACCTGACCTCTGACGTGACCTGGTATTGTTAGTGACCTCTAATAGCAACATATCTATTATCTACTAGGCAACTGACGCCCTATCGCTGATTCTCGACAAAATGCGTTTTCCTCGGTGTTATAGCGCATTCCCTAGAAGACCCGTGAACGGTGAAACATTTCATCTTTGACCTGACCTGTGACGTCATCAGTGACCCCGAGGTCAATGAAATTTAGTTTCCCTCAACAAATTTGACAGACCTCTCGAACGCCGTTTGAATTTTGCGGATCCGTCCAGTAGTTTCGGAGATACGAGGGGGGCAAAAAATAGCCCCCCCCCCACCAGGTCGCGTTATAAACAGACCCCACCAGGGCGCGGGATAACGGGCCGATTATTGGTCAGAAACTAGATGGAAGTGTAGTAAGATGTTTTAGGATGACAGCAGGTGCTGTCTAGTTCATTTACAGTCGAGTTTCATGCTCAGCGTCATCAGAAACGGTCCATATCGGAAAACGACAAAACTTTATGACGTCACTGTGACGTCATCTTAGGTGCTACAACCACCAAAAACATTGCCTAGATATTCGTTTGAAGCTATGCCAAGTTTCACGTTCGTTCGTAGCTCATCAGTTTTCGGAGATATTTCACAAAACGTAAAGGGGGGCAACTTTATGCCCCCCCCCCCCCAGCGGCTCGTGGGTTAAATGCACTTTCAAAGGCAAAATTCAGCAGAAAAATAAGCTGGTGAAATAACCAAAAATACACTTGTTTGGCTCGCAAGAGCCAAGCAATCGAATGGCCCAAGATTAAGCGTGGACAAAAAGCTATTCTGCAGTACGCTCAGTGCTTATCATATTTGTGCGGAGCAATCCATCACCATCAGCTGCAACAACAAATCACCGGCTGACCAAATTAACGACGATAATAACTCAGCGTTATTTAAGACGGATTTGTGATGAAGGCAAACAAGTTGCTTCAAGAACCTCGAATGGAAGTTATGCCAACGGCTCAGCCACTTCTGTGGGGTGGATTGCCTTTTCTTGAAAAGTTCAACAAGACAGATTACCCTACCAGTCTTAGCTGAATAAATCGGAAGAGATCAAAGACCCTAGTCCTACAGTTAAGCAAAAAGGCTTATGGCTGGATTTATAGCAGACGTTTTTCAAATACTGGAGTTCCTTCACATGTTGGTAAGGCAAGCAAGATAAATGTTTCAATGCTTGCTTACCACATCGGAAAGCTGGCGAACATTTTATAAATGCTGACGTTTCAGAACGTGTAGGCGAAAAACCGAGAGGTAAAAAAGCATGCATACTAAACCGAGAAGGAAAAAATACGATATGCGTAACGGGTATAGTTTTTCTTCAGGCAAATCGTCATCACAAACTGTGTGATATCGTAAATGTAGGTATGTATATGTGCGTGATGGTTGTGTTTATCCGTTTTGTCGGGAGAATGTATTTTTGCTGTGCCGGTGTATAACGCCACACAATCAAGATTGTGATTGTTTATTGTAAATATCGATGTAATGTGGCACAAAGATAGTTTGTCGATTAGGTAATATAAGAACGATCGAAGGTACCTGTACAATGTGTAAGATTTGTTTTTCAATAGAAAAACACAATTCTAACGAATAGTGTTTTAACTATTGACAACAAACCTTCGGTTACAATCATATTATAATGAGAAAATCTTATTCCGTTGCTAAAAAGGTACATTCTCTGTTATGAGTCATCCGTAATCCAGCATTGCAATGACATTTGTAAGAATCTCGAAAAAAAGATAATTATGATAATGTATGCGCTGGGAAGTTTGCAGTTGTCCGTTCATTTATGTTTGTATATATGACGATATTTTGATATGAAGACGAGACGTTTGTACATAATTTATTTGTGAGCTGTATTTAAGGGGTGGTAGATCTAAGTCTGACCTTCTGACGCTGCTCGTGCCCGTTCCGGCGGCTGTACCCTCGGAGATCTGTGTTGTGCAGCGGCGGAGAGACGGCCTGTTCTCTGGACTCTGGCAGGGTATCGCGCGTCAAATGCCCTCCTCCTCTCCCCCGCCGAGCTCCTGGGTGTTGCTGCTTGCCGTGATGTCGCGTGCGTCTCCGTCAGTGGTGAGCCCCGTGTCGCCGTGTCCCCGTGTCTCTTGTCGTGTCTCGCGTCGCGTCCCCGTGTCACGCCCTTGCCCCGTCCCAGTGCCGTTCTCTGTACGTCTATCCTCAGCGGGACTTTTGAACGGGTCAGTGTGCTCGCCTACCGGGCCAAATGTACTCGTGTAACTGGCCGGTGTTCCCGCGGGTGCACGAGCGTATCGCGCGGAGGTCACTGTTTGTCTGTTTTCGAGAACGGGTTAGCCCTGGAGCTGCTTCGCGTTGGGCCCAGGGCAGCTGTTGCCGCCCGTGCTGTCGCGAGGGATATCACCCAGAGGCTGTATTATAGCGCTGCGGTAATCCGTGTTGCTGCTCGCATCGGTGTGATGCGGATGCTCGTTTCTTGTTCTGTGTGCGTCAGCGGCAATGCCGAATGCTGCGGACGCGTTGCGTTTCATTGCATGTATGTGTTGATGGCTATCGTTAAAAAACGTTGCTATAATGTATCCAACTAAGTTTGCTGGAATTTCGAAAAAGATGAGTGTTGATGTTTGAAAATATATTGGACAATGAAAATCACAACTTTATATTCACAAACGCGATAAATAAACACCAACGCCGACTCTCGATTCAATTTTTATCAAATAATGACCTTGCCAAACATCGCAAATATTTCGCTAGCCCAGGGTGATAGCACACACACTCCAGACCTGATCGCTGGCGAGGTTTCACAACCCTCCAAGTGCGGGCGGTGCTCCACCTAATCAGTCGTCAACACAGCTGCTGAAATGGGCTGCGTTCCCCCGGGCTCTGCTCATTCTGCGCGTAACGGCAGCTCGTTGTGTTGTCAGCAGCGGAGGCGACATTGAGCCGCCTCGACATCGGCACAACGAGAACCAGAGGGCCAGAGAGTGTGTTTGTTAGCTAGTTCTTGTAGTTGTGCTGGAAGCGTAACAATCATACAGATACAGGACCTGTGCTTATCTATGTCTAGTTTTGTCACCGATACGGGATGCTAGTTCGGATGGTGGTACAGAGGTAGCCTACGGTGGCAAATGGCACTGAATATCTATGGATCGTTCTTATATGCCTACAGAAGTTGCGTTTTAAAAGTTTTAAAGTTTTTTACGCAAAGCATTCTAAAATGCATCATTGTTGTGGATTTTACCAATCCAGAGTCGTCCGGTAGCCGCGCGCCGCTCTACAGAGTCATCTGGCAATCGATCCCTGTATGGCGGTACAGTATACATTCAGGCGCTCTTTGCCAGCGCCATCTATGAACGGACACATTAAACTGACCCAGTAGCTCGGCGCTGCGCGGTCTCATCTAGCACGGAGCAAGCACGGTCATTTCCAACGCTATATATAATAGACATATCGTTAAAGTAGATCATATAAAGTAGCAATACTCTTACACACGCATTCTGATGACTGATAGCTCAACCATCCACGGGCGGGAGGCAGATTGCGGTAACATTTTCATGGTGGGTACATATATATGTACCTCATCGAAGGGATGGTGGTCTCTCTCTCTCTCTCTCTCTCTCTCTCTCTCTCTCTCTCTCTCTCTCTCTCTCTCTCTCTCTCTCTCTCTCTCTCTCTCTCTCTCTCTCTCTCTCTCTCCCTCTCTCTCTGCCTCTCTCATAGTTTCTGGGCATCCTTTACTGATTCAGTTCTCTCTTTCTTGGGATACCAGGAATCAAGAAAAGGCTACAACCTCTTCCCGATCTCTTCTGAGTGTGTCGTGTCGCAGGCTGTAGGCTCTTATGTCGACTTTATAGTACCT